GAAGATTATGTTATTCACTACCAAGAGCTTCAATACTATGTAAAATTAGGTATGATAGTAGATGAAGTTACAGAGATTTTATCATTTGATCAGGATAATTGGCTTGCTCTCTATATAGCTTTTAATACAGAAAAACATAATGAGGCCAAAAAAGCTAGAAATATATTTCTAAGTGACTTTTTCAAACTCAAAAATAATACTGTATATAGTAAAACTATAGAGAATGTTTGTAAGTATCAAGATATCAAGCTTATGGCTATAAATAATGAGCAAGATGAAAAAAATTTATTAACCAGATTCGTAAACCCTCATTTAAGTATGCTAGACAACTTGGTTCTTCACTTATAGGAGCACATATGGGAAAAGCTAGTATAACTCTTAATAAACCTATTATTGTTGGAGCATCAGTCTTAGGTCTTAGCAAACTTCACATGTACCACTTCTGGTATGGGTATGTAAAAGAAAAATATGGTGATAAAGCCCAGCTTGGATATAAGGATACAGACTTATATTTATTTCAAGTTGAGACTGAGAATATCTATAAAGACATGGCAGAATGACCTGATCTTTTCGATCTTAATGATTCTAAAACTATTAGGCTTTTTAAAGATGAGACTTCAGGCAACATGATTACAGAATCTTATCATATCTAGGCTAAGTCATATAACTATATCTTAGCAGATAAGTCTACAAAATCTAAGCATAAGGGGTTAGTAAAAAAGGTATAAATAAAATGGCTACGAATTCATACATGCCAGCTTTAGAAGGGTCCTTGCTAAATGATTCAATAGATAGATCATTATTATCAGAGCAAGAAGCTATGCAAACTGAGGCAAATCTTATAACCCTAGTATATCGGGACTATCTATTTATAAAGAAGTATTCTATGGCAAAAATGTGGGTATTCGTTCAAAAGACCATATATTATCTTTGGTTAAATATGAAAAAAAGGCTCTTTGTTCTATAGATACTAAGCGTTAGATATTATCTAATAGAATAACTAGTTTTCCATATAGTTATTGGTGTATACAAGCATATAAAAATTTTATATCAAATAGTATATCTCTAGAGTTGGCTAAAAAAAGAGCTTTAAGTATTAAGCTCTCAAAGAAGTATCAAAATGAATGTGTATCTTATATATTTAGCTTACTGATATAAACTAGATTAGTAAGAAGAAGAAATATATACCAACTTGAAACATTTCTTAAATACAAAGAGAAATCAAAGATTCAGCACTTTGTGCCATTATGACTCTAAAGAGTTATCCATTGGGTCTGCTCCGCAATAAAATTATATATAATATATTTTTTTTTCTAAATTGTATAAATGCAAGTTGGTAGTATATGACCTCTAATCACAATATCATATTTTATGAATTTTCTAGCAAATTCCAGTTGTTTCAAGGGCTTGAGACAAAAAGTATAAAACCCTATCACTTTTCTCATCTATCTCAAAAATTGCTTCCCAAAAATTAATCAATTTCTTAATCATGAATAACACCCACTTCTGTATAAGATATTCTTAACTAAATTCCTAATTTATGTTGCATCTGCCAAGAACCAATTAAAAAACTAGTCGCTGTCTTGAAATGTGATCATATCTTACATTTCAACTATGCTATTAAATTTTTTGCAATTGGTGAAAATATTATCTGCCCTGTTAAAAATTGCCAAAATTGAATTAAAAATATAGAAGCAGTTGAAAAGGAAATCAGTGATCTTGCAGAAGCTTTAAAACCTGGAAATACTTATAAAGTTAGGTCTTTTCTTTGAGAAATTTCTAAAAATTTACCCTATTCTGACGTGTCATCTGAAATGGAAGAAATACCTCCCTCAACTGCACAGGGATTTCTGCTTTTATATATAAATATAGATCAAACTGAAGAATTACTTGCTCACTCAAAGAGAAATGTGGTTTGTGCAAAAAAAGAAGTCATCTTGTCTTATTATCATTTTGGGAAAGCAGATGCAGAAAAACTTAAAGAGTTACTAAAGATATTGATCCTCTTACGCATGGCACAGAGTAAAATAGTTGCTGAAGTTAAGAAATTACTTCCCATTAGTACTTCTATTAATATTATAAAGAGAAGAATTGCTACAGCTCGAAAGATTTATGATATCTTTAGCACAATTGGTGAGGATAAGATCCAACGAATTAGAAATTTTAGCACATCAAGTATTGGGGCTTTCAAAAAGATGAAATTGAGTTTATTAAAACTGGAGATAACAAATCTAAATTTAGAATAGAAAGAGAAAGTTCAAATATATGGACAGACTTCAATGTATTGCAGAGCAATGACCCAAAGGGTCTTAATTCTAGTACAAATTCTTTAGAGTCAAATTATACAATTGATATATCATATATGGATGATAAAGAGATGATATTAAACAAATAATAATTTTTATATCATATGACATTTTGCGGTTTTGGCTCGACATTATATAATCAAGTGTATTATTGTGAAGCAATGATGGCACAGAGTGCCAAATCTCTGATTCCCCTTTGGGTCTAAATTTGCCAATCTAATACTATAAAAGGTTATACTCTTTGAGCCTAGCCTAAATGCACATAATGTATATATGCATCAAGGCTTTATTTTTAACAATTTTAATAAAGTTATGGGTAGAAAACAAAATAATAATATATATCTATACTCAACAATTACATGATCAGTTAAAAAAAAAAAATAGCAAGCCTACGGGACTCCCTCTTTATTTAATAAAACATTGTTGCCGAACATTATACAAATAAAATATATATTTATTATATAATAAAAAATGCC